TTTCCAGCAACTTCCATTTTTGTTCCTGATTTACAGCATCCGCAGTTCTTTCGGTTTTTTTACACTCCATGCCTCCTCCATCACAGCATGAAAATTTCGGAGTATTGTCAGCATGCTTAGAAACAGTGTGGGGATGGAGGAAAATGCAGGAGATTGGCACTAGGGAACAGAACTGGGGCAAGGACATCAGGCTGAATGGCCTCCTTCTGTACCGTAACACTTCTGTGATTCTTCCGAGATGGGTGTGGAGCAGATCGGGGCTGTTTATTGAACTATGCACATTCTGTGCAGGGCAGGGAGGGAGCCATGCGCATTCCTTTCTGACAGCCCCATGGAAATGCATGCGAGTGCTTTGGCAGAACATTTACAGAAAAAGTGTGACTATAGGCAAGTGTCATATCAACAGGATGTGGGTGGAGAGGTGAGTGATGAGATTCAACGCAGAGAAGTGTGAGGGGATGCACTTTGGTTGGAAGAACATTGAAAGACAATATAAAACAGGGGGTACAATTCTAAAGGGGGTGCAGGAACAGAGGGAGCTGGATGTATCTGTGCACAGATCATTGACGGGGCCAGGAGAGGTGGAGAGAGCAGTGCCCGCAGCTTCATTAATAGGGACACAGAGTACAGGAGCAGGGAGGTGATGCTGAACTTGTACAAGACACTTATTAGACCTCAGCTGGAGAATTGTGTACAGCTGTGGGCCCCACATTATAGGGAAAGATGTGAGCGCATTGGAGAGAGTACATAATCGATTTACAAGAATGGTTCCAGGAATGAGAAACATCAGCGATGAGGATGGATTGAAGAAGTTGGGACTGTTCTCCTTGGAGAGAAGAAGGCTGAGAGGGAGATCTGTTGGAGGTTTTCAACATCATGAGCGGGAGCTGCACAGGGTGAATAGGGAGAAGCTGTTCCCACATGTAAAAGGAACAAGAATGAGAGGGGAGTGGATTGAAAGTGATGAAGCGAGGGTGATGTGAGGAGAAACATTCTCACCCAGCGAGTAGTTAGGGTGTGGAATGCACTGCCTGGAAATGTGGGGGAGGCAGGTTCCATTGAGCCATGCAAGAGGGGCACTGAATGGCTATTTAGATAAAAACAGATTATAAGGGTGAAAGGGGGGGTTGGAAGGCAGGAAATTGGCTCAAGGTAACGCGCTCATTTGAAGAGCTGGTGCAAGCACAATGGGCCGAATGGCCTCTTCCTGCACCATAAGGCTTCTGTAATATTCATGTAAAACTCAGGGATTCTAAGTCTGAATTTTCGGGCAAAAAGTAGACAGGTCGACTTTTACACAAGAAGGGATTGAAACCCCATCCTCTCCAATTAACGTGCTATCACAGAGTTGCCACGTTGGACACTGTTCCCATCAAAGCTGTGCCCTCAAAAATAGTGCAAAGGGAACCCAAAGTTTTTTTTTTATTCATTCATGGGATGAGGGCATCACTAGCCAGGCCAGTATTTATTGCTCATCCCTAATTGCCCAGAGGGCAGTTA